ACACAGTTGGGAATTGGTGGTGATATATAGAGATTGTTGGACAGAGGAACACAGTTGGGAATTGGTGGTGATATATAGAGATTGTTGGACAGAGGAACACAGTTGGGAATTGGTGGTGATATATAGAGATTGTTGGACAGAGGAACACGGTTGGGAATTGGTGGTGATATATAGAGATTGTTGGACAGGGGAATACAGCTGGGAATAGTTGGACAGAGGAACACAGTTGGGAATTGGTGGTGATATATAGAGATTGTTGGACAGAGAAACACAGTTGGGAATTGTTGGACAGAGGAACACGGTTGGGAATTGGTGGTGATATATAGAGATTGTTGGACAGAGGAACACGGTTGGGAATTGGTGGTGATATATAGAGATTGTTGGACAGAGAAACACGGTTGGGAATTGGTGGTGATCTATAGAGATTGTTGGACAGAGGAATACAGCTGGGAATTGTTGGACAGAGGAACACAGTTGGGAATTGGTGGTGATATATAGAGATTGTTGGACAGAGGAACACAGTTGGAAATTGGTTGACAGAGGAACACAGTTGGGAATTGGTGGTGATATATAGAGATTGTTGGACAGAGGAACACAGTTGGGAATTGGTGGTGATATATAGAGATTGTTGGACAGAGGAACACTGTTGGGAATTGGTGGTGATATATAGAGATTGTTGGACAGAGGAACACAGTTGGGAATTGGTGGTGATATATAGAGATTGTTGGACAGAGGAACACAGTTGGGAATTGGTGGTGATATATAGAGATTGTTGGACAGAGGAACACAGTTGGGAATTGGTGGTGATATATAGAGATTGTTGGACAGAGGAACACAGTTGGGAATTGGTGGTGATATATAGAGATTGTTGGACAAGGGAATACAGCTGGGAATAGTTGGTGATATATAGAAATTGTCTGTCGAAGTCTTGCTAATGAGACGCACATTTTGAAGAGGTTGGTGATCTCTTATATTTGCCTGACAAAGGGACATATTTCTGGGTATTTCCGATTATCTACATGAATGGTCAGGAGTGCTGGATCTTTTGTCTATCCATTTATATCCTATAATAACTAGCAAGACATTGTGATTTTGATAAAAAAAAAATTGAATCATCAACAGTATAACAATGCTTTCTGAATGTCGTTTCATATGAAACGTGCACTTTCAGGCATATAGTTGACTTAATAAGTCAAATATCATCCAAGTGGTTTGATGAGCTGTGCAAATTACATTTTGTTTTTGGTCTGTTTGGTCTACTCCAGCAATTTGAAAATGGTAATATCAAGAATTGTATCATCTTATATACGATATGTCATATTCATGCTTCATGTATACAAGCCACTTTATACAATGTAACTGTAAATTGGTTACAATGTTTCCTCTTCAAAATCTAAATTGATTTAAGTGTGAGTTTAAAGTAGTGTACCGTTCAGATGTGTCATGAGCCCAAAAATTTCCGGGGTATTCTCATATTTGACTTGTCATTGGTACGCAGGAAAATTGCGCTTGAGGTAAATGAAACGTTTATATATATACTGCCTATGAAAAACGGTCTTTAATTAATGTTTTAATTCAAGAGTAAAATTTGGCTTGTAAATTCAATGACAGAAAGGAGATATTTTAGTACTGCACTTGAAATAGTCCAATAACATGAGGGCGAAAAGCGCTAATATTATCATACCGCTAAAATACGTACAAATGCAGTACTTCAGATTATAGTGTGATCCCTCTGAAATGGACCCCAAGGAATAAAAAGCTCTTGAAATATGGCGGAATTATCCTTACAGCTAAATGTGAGACTGAGTAGTTGTCCTTCTCCAAGCTATCCAAGACACTTGTGCCTGTGTTTGAAGATAAAAATATAAAACTTTTTATTTATGACGCATTGAAGCTGATTACGTCAACATCGTTTTATATCGCGTCGAATTATAGGTTATCATTCAGTGTTTTCAATACTGGCAGTGTTATTACGCCAAGGCTAGCTGTATTGGTCTGAGGCAGAAGATCTAATACAGCTGACCGAGGTCTAATAACTGGGTCAAGATTTAATTCGCTAACTAACGATCCTTTCCAATTGACTAGTTTGTTTTCCTCGCTTCCTATTCGAAACAATTCACGCGAATCAATATTGGCCGATTTTTTTTTTTTTTATAAATATTTGCCTTTTTCAATATTGGCCGAGTTTTGTTTCCTGTAGTGTGGGATAGAAAAGTCCGTGATAAGATAATACTGCTCTAGTTAATTAATGATCCGATGCATCAGTGCCTGGACCAAACAGTTTACTCTATAGCGTACAAGAAATGTCCAAACATAAGGATACTGTGGAAGCTAATTACTAGTAGCTTGAAGGAGAGAGAGGCTAGCTGACAGCTGCCGAAGGAAGAATCCAAGACGTTAGGAATGTCTTGTGCCATCTCCTTACATAACATGGAGGGGGAAATATTTCTGTTGATTCTAACAGAATGCATATGGGACTTCATGCAAAGTAAGAGTGATACCGACATCTTGACCTAAAAAGGTGGATACAGGAGTGTCTGGTGGTGCCGAACATAAACACTTATTGATACCAGTCATCAGGAAATCCATGGAGACGAAGTATGGCCTTGTAGATGTGCTACTCAAGCTGGCCGTAATATGGTATAATTAAAGCTTGAGATATACATAGTGCCAGAATAAATTTAACAGATATTGTAAAGATATTGCAACTTTTTCAAGATATAATGTTAAAATATCAACAGAATCTTCATTCAAATTTGACGAAACGTGGTCAAACTATGAAGAAAAGAAAGATTTACACGGATAAACATGAAAATGTACAAGGATAATACATTAGACCAGCTTTCCGTAAGGCTAAATGTATTCTCTAAAGGAAGGGAGATATACATTCTCATTAGTAACCGTCGTTTATGACAGTTTGCTTTTTTCGCTCGCAAAAATATCAGAAGAATGCAGTGAGTGTAACAAGACACAAGTTCGTCAATTTTGAAGTTCTCACATGAAATCATATCGCAAACCTGACATACTCTGATCATCTACAAACGAATCGTCATTGTGGAACTGACAGTACCAAAGACAGAGCTATGGAGGAGGCATACGAGGTGAAGAATACAAAATACCTGGGTCTGGTCAGAAGGGATGGCGGATATGGTAAATTGTTGTGAAGGTTGGCTGCAGAAGATTTACTGGACAGTCATTGTAGGGGGACATGACACCTTCCAAGTGGGTCAAGTAAGTTCATTTGAACAAACTTGATAGCCAGCGCAGGCGCAATATCCGCGTCTTGGACCTTTTAGTTCCTAAGAAGAAGTTGGGAGAGACCGACAGCAGCTGGTTTGGTGACGTGTATCAACAAGCAGTCAGCATCAGTGTAGCGGTAGGGGAAAATAGCAGAATCTTGGACATAACAGCTGTGCTGTGTGATTCTTCGGCATTCCTCCACTAAAAACTTCATGTTTAGGACTAGGATTTTGCGTTTTAGAACTTGGTTAAAAGGCACGCAAGTTTATAGCACATTTTTAATAGAATTCAAGAATTAGATATAATAGCGCCAAATAATTAATTACATTTTATCATAAAACTGTTGCATCCTTCTAGTAATCGACAATGATGCCTACTATCATTAATGTTGAAGCCTAAGAGGCAAGACATCAGACATAGAAATATGGCGATGACCATGTGACGACAGTTATCCAATAAGATGGTCAGATTACATTCCGAAGTGGAATAATTATATAGGCCTATATATATATGTCTCGACGATTCTTATTATTCTTTTCTTAAAACAACTTCTAGATGACCAAGAAGCATAGAGGCATGATAATTAACTGACAAGTTGCTAGGATGAAATCCGGCAAAAAATGCAAAAAGAAATAACCTTGATCCTTATTCAAGGTCACAGTGGTAGAATTTGTTGAAACCCTAAAGCAACTTCTTTTGACTAATCAAAAGGCGCAAAAGCATGGTGTTTGACAGATAGTTCCTGGCAACGTTTGCGAAAAGAAGTAACCTTCTGATAAACCAAAAGTCTGAAAAGCACGTGTATTTGATTGAAAGTTGTTTCTAGAAATAGAAATGGAATTGGTCTATAATCCATGCCATAACTGTCACTGTTTAGAGTTGGGTATTATAAGCTGTTTGTTGAGGAAATAGGTTAAGATTGATTTGATGTGCCCAATTAGAAAACCAATGGTATACCTGTCAATATATTTGTGATATGAACACCAATTCAATTCTTTTGCCGTTGTTTTGTTTACCTGGAGTGATGTTTTTATAATCACTATTCCATTATTTACATAATATTGTTTTACAAGTGTGAGTATTGATAAAATTTTCGCAATTTTACTAAAAAAATTGTAGATAAGAATCCAGAATTAATGTGAATAGAATTAAATCCTTATATATTAAATCCTTATAGCACAACCAGTAAGTGTTACGGCTCAATGACTATGCGCTGTCACATTGCTGATGTAGGTGACACACCACACACGTTAGTAGAACTTATAAAAGTGTTGTTGAAGTGTCGCTCTATACACTTGGGTCACTCTGGACCAGGAAGTTCAGACTTCTATACCTATCAAAGAATGGCCTGTGCTATTTAAATTCTGGCGATGTTTACCTTGGTGTTCTATTTTGAGACACGCTTACAGAAGTTGCTTGTCTGGTTTTTAAAATCAACGAGGCTTGAATTCGTATCTAAATAGTATATAGGGATATATATGTAGACCTCTTTACGCGTAGGTAATCACGATGGGAGTACTGGCACTCGTGTCCCTTCAGATAATAAGCTTTGCACAATTCCTCCAGGTTTAGTTGTCGTTTAGCCACATATACAATCCCCTATTAGTACAGGTGTGTGTGACACATATATACACACAGTCGAATTAAAGGTACGCTTCTGAGTATATTTTACTTCCTGGTAGGGAAAGTTCTGGGATGCCAGTGGACAGACATGTTTCTGGAGTGAGGATTTAACTTTGATAAATGTCAACATTTCCAAAATGTCGGAGAATAACACGCTACATTGTGGATGGTTGGAGCGTATTACTAAAGACACGAAGGGTAAAGAAAAGCGAGAGGTAGGTAAAGAACTACATGTTACTTTTATTTTTTACCTTTGCTCACTGTCTCACGGTTCCGTACTCTCAAATAGTTCTACAAGCTTTATATTTCAGAAGGAAACTTAGCTATCTGGATTTTCTTGTTACATGAAATATGCATCTCAAGTAAAAGTAAATATGTTTACAATAGGGTTGTATTTTTAGTATGTTTAAACAAACATGTGGACAGGTAAGAAGGGTTTTATACCTATTTTTCTTCATCGGCAGGTAAATATTAACATGATTTGAATGTGACGACAGGGTTGATTTCAGTTAGAATTCTGAGAGACGTGGAGCCGTAAACAATATCTACCTAATCGTTACATTTGTTTAAGTATCAGGCGTCATATATCACTTTTATTGTGTGTAAACAACCATAGACATGTTCTCAGACACGTTGTGGCCTTATTAATTGTCAAAACGCCGTAAAACTGACAATCTGAAACAGATAGGGCATACACCTAGTATAGGGGCTTAACAGACTACCTGTAATGTATGTCAGCACTCTGTAATTTTTGTTTCATCATTTTGCTTTCGTTCCCTTTTTTGAATGATGAATATATGTGTGGTGTTCATGTCAGAGCATATTAACTATTCGATGTACCCGGATACTTAACAATACACCTGGACGTTAAGTTCAAGTGATTACGGAGACGAGGAGAAAACAATACCCCTATTTTCGGTAGGTGTCATACAATGCAGGGATTATCACGTGTCGGTCGCGATATTTATCTTTAACTAAGGACAGGTCGTGAAGTATAAAGGCCATTTATTATTTATCATCGACAAACTGAAGAATTAGTATAAAATTTACCCGGACGAAATGTGAAGCCCATGTATAGGTTAAGTTAACCAGGGCTAACCGTGAAATGTATGGTATTCATTATCTACATGAATCAACCATGAAATATAATGCATTTATAATTTATCAAGCCATGTTGGTGTACACTGTATGGTGTCTTGTATGAGATGTTGGCCTGCCCTGTATGACGTCTTGTATGAGATGTTGGTGTACCCTATATCATGTCATGTATGAGGTGTCGGTGTACCCTGTATGACGTCATGTATGAGATGTTGGCGTACCCTGTATGACGTCATGTATGAAATGTTGGTGTACCCTGTATGCCGTCATGTATGAGGTGTCGGTGTACCCTGTATGACATCATGTATGAGATGTTGGTGTATCCTGTATGACGTCATGTATGAGGTGTCAGTGTACCCTGTATGACGTCATGTATGAGGTGTTTGTGTACCTTGTGTGACGTCATGTATGAGATGTTGGCTTACCCTGTATGATATTTTATATGTGATGTTCGCCTGCACTGTATGACGACATGTATGAAATGTTGGTGTACCCTGTATGACATTTTATTTGTGATGGTGGCTTGACCTGTATGACGTCATGTATGAGATGTTGGTGTACACTGCATGGTGTCTTGTATGAGATGTTGGCCTGCCCTGTATGACGTCTTGTATGAGATGTTGGTGTACCCTGTATCATGTCATGTATGAGGTGTCGGTGTACCTTGTATGACGTCATGTATGAGAGGTTGGTGTACAATGTATGATGTCATGTATGAGATGTTGGTGTACCCTGTATGACCTCATGTGTGAGGTGTCGGTGTACCCTGTATGACGTCATGTATGATATGTTGGTGTACCCTATATCACGTCATGTATGGGTTGTCGGTGTACCCTGTATGACGTCATGTATGAGATGTTGGCTTACCCTGTATGACATCATGCATGATATGTTGGTGTACCCTGTGTGACGTCATGTATGAGATGTTGGCTTACCCTGTATGACATTTTATTTGTAATGTTCGCCTGACCTGTATGATGTCATTTATGAGATGTTAGTGTACCTTGTATGACGTCATGTATGAGATGTTGATGGACCCTGTATGATGTCATGTATGAGATGTTGGCTTACCCTGTATGACGTCATGTATGAGGTGTTAGTTTACCCTGAAAATAGAATAGATTAAAATGCAGCGTTGCTTGTTCAAATTTTGTTATCAAAGTATTTAAAAGTTCTGTCTCTTTTATTCAAAATGTGTCGTACTTTGAGAATTCCGTACTCGATACATATGGTGTCAAATTTATGTCCTTTCTAAACAGTATGTATTTAGGTCTTTGTTTATTACCCAACACCTGAACGGTTTCTTAGATAAAAATCCACTGAGTTAGAAGTCATAATGTGGCACAAGACCAGACTATCTTACTCACTTCCTGGTTTGTAACACACGGTCTGATTACCTTGTATTCAGCAGTGAACCTTTTACAAAGTATTGTCCACATTAGTACACAGAACAATTCGTCGCTACATACTGTAAACGTCTCAAATATTAAAGTGAAATTTAGTAATCCAGATTTTTGTTTCGCGAAAGTTTGACCTTCCTTTGTTGTTTGCTATGTATATGTAAACAGTTACAATAGTATGTAAGTGAAAACTGAGAGAGTCACGCTGTAGGTAAGTCATAATTTGTCGAGTGTAGTCCAGGGTGGTCATTGTTTGGGTCAGGATTAAGTAACGAACCTCGTCTACACTTCGTAGATTGAACAATTGCTCTACACGCGATTTACAGGGTGTGGCAGATTAACCCAACGAACTCGGTCACAACTGGCATTTGTCAGAAAACCCTGATTATCAACAGATGAACATTTACACTCGAGTTCAATCTTTAACTGCAGTAAAACTAAACTAAAATTAACTTTATTATTTAAATAAAGACATATTAGTCGATGTAATAACTAGTGTTATATGATAAACTCGGTAGTTTGTGTTAAACTCTCCAGACGCTCTCTAAAACTCACTATACAGCGAAAGCCTGGACTCTGTAGTTAATGAATGAGATAGACCAGGGATTAAAAAGACAGAACTGAAAGTTTACCTTCAAATAATACCCCACTATCGAATTTCTACCACTACTTCATTATTAAAGAAATAGGTTCTCCGGACCAGAGATAAATCAACAGCACATTCCGATGTGTTACTCTCGTGCCAGTTTTTAATATGTCGACCATTGTCATATAGAAAGCCTAAACCCTCCCTTAACTTCTAACCAAGTATCTCATTCTTTTGAATAGAATGTAATACTAGTAAATCACTAGCTGCAATATCGGCTAGATACGTCTCTGTGAGCGTCAGATCAGTATGCTAGTGGTTCCGGGTTCGAATCCCAGCGGAAACATTTTTGTTTTGTTGTCTACGGACACCGTATGAACAAATCGTGACTTTAAGATCGATATTCTACACACTGAACTATTCAATCGACATAAGGAAATTGAGTAAAGGCCTGACGTCATTCTGCCGTCTTTAGGGGGTGTGACTAGCATTAATCATTCTTCGATCGATATCGATAAGAAATAGTGTTGAGATAGCATTGTGATTACATGATATGCATGTACATTTAATATATATGTTGCTGACAGACCTAAATCGCGCGTGACGTCACAACGTCAGGACAGGTTTATTCGTCTCGCGCATGTGCGCAAGCGGCACATTACTGCCACTGAATCTGTCCTTCATACCATAGGTACTCATAACCATTCTATCTATGCAAAAACTGTAAGCAAACATGTGCGGGAAGTTGGTATGCGAGCATGTCAATCGTTTGTAGGTCTGCCCCTTACCGCCAGCGTCGTGTGGCTTCGTTGGCGGCACATGCCTCCAGAATACTCCCATTGAGGCAGTGAAGACGCGTCTTGTTTACTGATGAATACCGGTTCATCTTTTCCAGTAGGATAATGCTCGGCCCCATGTAGCGAGGATATGTCGCGACTTTCTTACGAACAACAATATACACTCACTGGACTGGCCGCCATACAGTCCCTATCCCCTATTGAACACTTGTGGGACCAGCTGGATACACAAGTTCAACGACACCAGCCTCCCCCTGTTGCTCTGGCCCAACTGAAAGCAGCCGTCTTGGAAAAATGGATCAACATTCCAATGAGGAGGATAAACTCACTCATGAACTCCATGCCTAGGAGAATCAGGGCTGTGGAGAAAACAAATAGGGGACATACACGATATTGACTACCCAGCTCCCACACAGTCCATTTCGATTTCAGATTACAGAGTTCTCTTTCAATTCCCTGCAATTACTCCTAAATCATTTACCAGATGCAATTAGTTGATTTTAAAGTTTGTTCTGTACGAAATAATCTTCATCCTTACTTTAAAATATTGAACATTATACTCCACGTCTTGCCTAGAATCATCTTCAAAGTTTACCCTGCGCATTTCTAGGAGTATATATAGCGGGACAGTGATGTACCGACTACAATTCTTCTCAGAGTATGACACTGGGAAAATAGCTCTGAGATTACTCATATACGCTCAGTGGTTATCACATACACACCACGATAAAAGTTATCTCGTGGTGAATAATTGATTCAATATCTTTCAAACATCTATCTAAGATGGTGTTTTGCTCCTTTAATCACAACTTAACCATATTTCCCCTAGACGTGAAAACCAATATCTCACCAACAAGACATTTAATAAGTGATTTACTGACGTGAAGCTTCAACTATTAGTGGCGAGACTAGTGACTCACTGACGTGAAGCTTCAACTATTAGTGGCGAGACTAGTGATTCACTGACGTGAAGCTCCACTATTAGCGGCGAGACTAGTGATTCACTGACGTGAAGCTCCAACTATTAGCGGCGAGACTAGTGACTCACTGACGTGAAGCTCCAACTATTAGCGGCGAGACTAGTGACTCACTGACGTGAAGCTCCAACTATTAGCAGCGAGACTAGTAATTCACTGACGTGAAGCTCCAACTATTAGCGGCGAGACTAGTGATTCACTGACGTGAAGCTCCAACTATTAGCAGCGAGACTAGTCATTCACTGACGTGAAGCTCCAACTATTAGCAGCGAGACTAGTCATTCACTGACGTGAAGCTCCAACTATTAGCGGCGAGACTAGTCATTCACTGACGTGAAGCTCCAACTATTAGCAGCG